AGCCTACTGACTGCTAGAATTGTAAGCCTGGGTCACCGGGTCTGGCTAGGAGTGGAAATTTATATAGTTTAGTTATGCGTCCCTGCTGGCAGGAATAGCAAATATTAGTTCTCACAGTTTGCGATTTGCCTTAAAATGTTTAGCTTGAAGCCGGGTGTATTACTACTCATCTATTACCCCGGCACTCTGGAAGGCAGAGGCAGGTGGGTCTCTTGAGTTCCAGGACAGCCCAGACTACACGGAGAAACACTGCCTCAAAAATAGGTAAATAAATAAAAACTTTAGGTGGGAGTGGTTCTCAACCTGTGGGTCTCAACCCCCTTAGGGGTCAAATGACCCCTTCACAGGGGTCCAATGTCAAATATCTTGCATATCCAATATTTACATTAATTAACATTCATAACAGTAGCAAAATTACAGTTATGAAGTAGCGACGAACTAATTTTATAGTTGGGGGGGGTCACCACAACATGAAGAACTGTACTAAAGGGTCTCGGCATTCAGAAGGTTGAGAGCCGCTGGTTTAGGGCATTTTTTGCTAATATCTACTTCCCCATTTGGGATTTCTTTGCCAGCTTTAACACTGGAAACTACTGCTCTTCCCTAAGTTGCGTGTAAACTTCTGTGTGGACTTGATCTCTCCCTGTGTCTCCCTCGAGTCCAGTGTGGAAGAAATGGTGCGAGGTTAACCCGGTGTCTCCCAGTCACCCAGCACTGCTGTGTGTCACCCTCACTGTTCCCCATCTCAGAAGCCCCAAGAGCAAACTCTGCTCTCTCCAGGAAACTGTGCCCTCCCAGCATTCACACAAAGGCCTTGACAAGCCTGGTGTGGGCCACGCCCACTGAGGGCTTTACCTTGGAGACCTGGACACAAACAACTTTAAACCCCCTTAGAAGGATTCCGGTTTTCCCCAAGCCCAGCAGGGCTACGTCCCAGAGCCTGGCCTCTTCCAGCTCTTTTCTGTGGGTTGCCTGGGCCTCCTCCATTTCCTGGGAAGTGGGGCCTACACAGTAAGGGAGTCCTCTCAGACCCTGCTCTAACCCAGCCCTACCCTCCTAGCTTAGCCTCTTCTTAGACGGTAGGCTTAGTAACTCAAGAATGCCTTTGGGGTCTCAGCCCCCACCCACGGGGCTCATTAAACTGTTTCTTCCAAACAAATTCGGTGTGGCTTGTAGGTGGAATTCCCACACCATCTGCTCTCCAGGCTCTGTTTTCTCCATTGCCTTGGTTTCTCAAACATTCAAGGAGGAGGTCTTCAGGGAAGACTCAGAGCCAAGTGTTTGCTCCTCAGAGCACCAATATCCAGAGAGGCTGCCCTCGGGGACAGCTGGCCCCATGACTCAAGCTTCCAGGGACTTTACCGGGTATCCCCAAGGTGGTCTCGATAGTAGCTAGGTGGGGGCTTAGGCACTGGCCTCCCTCAGCTAAAGAAAACCATGGCGAGCATGCTCACAGGTACCCCGTGCCTGGGAAAGCTCAGATTTACACGCCCAGGAGTGAAGGTGAAAAACCTGGGAGGGCCCAGACTCCTAGGGCCACACCCATCTCCTAGGGAGAGCAAAGCAGCATACTAAGGGCGTAGGTTCGCCCTAACCACACACAGCTGTGGGTCCGCAGTAACAGGCTATAAGATGGACCCCGCACGAGTTAAGGGACAGGCTTGAAGTCTGCTCTTCTATTTCATCCTCTTTTTCTATTCTTTTCATTTGTTTGCTTATTGAGACAATAAACTGTATAGCCCAGGCTAGCCTCCAATTTGCCAAAATCTTCCTGAGGAAGCTTCTTGGTTTGCTGAGCTTAAGCAGGGTCCCAGGTGGCACAGGTTGAAAAACTGCATTTGTAGTCAAGAATGACCTGGAACTCCTAATCCTCCTGCTTTCTCCTCCCCATACTGGGATTACAAGTCTGTGTCACCACGCCTGGCTTCATACACATTTTTTAAAGTTTTTTTTTTTTTTAATTAATGTGTGTGTGGGTGTTCATACACACATGGGCCACGTATGTGCAGGTGTTCTTGGAGGCAGGAGGAGGAGCCAGATCTCCACTCAGGAGACAGTTACTGGTAGCTGTGATCTACTCCACATGGGCACTGGGAACCAAGCTCCAGTACCCTGGAAGAGCAGCCAGTACTCTTAGCTGCTAAGCTATCCCTCCAGCCCCTTCCTCCTTTCTTTCTTTGTTTCTTCATTTCCTTCCTTTTCTTTCTGTAAAATACTTATACTGCCCTCCCCAGCCCTTTCACACAGATTTTTATAGCATTTGAAACTTAATGAGTCCGGGGATGCAGTTTAATTGCTCGGAGCCCTAGGTCTGACTGTCATGACATGCACCACACAAAACCAGGCATGAGGCTGAGGTGGTTTAGTAGGTTCTTGCAGAAGCATGAGGACCTAAGTTTGAACCCCCGGCATCCAAGTAAAAAGCGGGGTATGGCTGCATGTGCGTGCCTGTAGCCCGGCACTGTGGGGAAGAGGCGAGAGGGTCACTGGAGTTTGTGGCTATGCCTCTAGGTTCAGTGGGAGACCCTGTCTCAAAGGAATAAAGTGATGTGACAGAGCAAGGCAACTGGTGTCCTCCCTATGGCCTCTGTGTGTATGAGGAGGTGTGCCCAGCCATGAGCAGCACACACACACACACACACACACACACACACACACACACACACGTACATGCATGCACACACACTCACACATACAGACACATCTCTTTGAAGAGTTCTTTATAAAGTTCCACCCAAGTACCATGAATGGAGCCTACCTCAGAGAGTTAGGTGGAGGGTGGCTGAGGGGAACAGTGAGTCAAAAGTATAGGAAGGATGACAAGAAGTACCTTGGAGAAGGGGAAGGGAGCACTTGACTAACAACTCAAGGGAAAGCTTATTCTGACTGGTACTTCAGGGACGTGTCAGTACACCGTGACCAGGAAGACATGATGGCAGTTTGTTGACATCACAGTAGACAGGAAGCAGAGGGCACGGCTGGAATCCAGAGTGAGCATGAGCCGTAGGACCCCGTGCCAGAGACCTATTTCCGCCCGGCAGGCCCTACTTCCTCCAGGGTCCACAGACGTCAAAACAATCCTACAAGCTAGAACTGCGTGTTCAAAACCAAGTCTATGGAGGACATTGCAGATTTTAAACCATATCAGAGAAGGAGCCAGGAATCAGGAGGGGCAGCTTGGGAGACGAGACGGCACACTAAGGATGGAGGGGGGAGTCTGTGTACTGCGATGAGACAGTTGTTATGGAGTAACCCAGAGCTGCCACCAGGTGGCGTCTGCAGGCGTGGGAAAGCCAGTTACCTTTCCAAGCCTCTGTCATCCTGGCCGGCTTTCCCCCCTGGGCCATCAATGGTTTTGTTTTGTTTTATTGTTTTTAAAGAAAAGGTCTTACTGTGTAGCCTTGGTTGTCCTGGAAATTGTAATGTAGGCCAGGCTGGCCTGGTACTCACAGAGAACCACCTGCCTCTGTTCCAGGAGTGCTGGGATTAAAGGCGTGCACCACCACACCTGGCCTAGTATTATTACGTTTCTTGTCTGTCTCTGTCACTCTGTGTGTGAGTGTCTGTGTCTGTGTGTGTGTGTGTGTGTGTGTGTGTGTGTGTGTGTGTGTGTTGCCATGGAACACGTGTGGAACTTGCAGCAGTCGATCTTCTTCTACCATGAGGGTCCTAAGAATCAGACTCAGATCACCAGGCTTGGATGCAAGTGCCCTTATCCACTGAGCTGTCTCGCCAGCCTCAGCTTTAAATTATCCCCACCGGGAACAAGAACTGAAGAGTCTGAGGACTACAGGTGGAACGCAGATCCCAGAGTCAGTGGTTGCTCCTGTGATATTACAGAAGCTGCAGATACGCCTGCCTCTCCCCCCCCCCCCCCCCCCCGAGAGAAGATGTAAAAGTAGACCCAGGCCTCCCTTGGGAGGTTGGAGTCCCTTGGTGGGATGTGAGGCTTGCTGCTCCTCTCCCCTGAAGAGCAAGAACCATGCATGGCCTGACAACCAGGGAGAGCACACATGGAAACGGAACCATCCACTCCAGCCTCTTCGATGGGAACGAAACCAGATGATTCGAGGAAAGTGCTCTACCATTCAGCCACACCCAATGGCCAGCTTGTTTGTTGCTGTTGTTTGTTTTTGACAGGCATTCCGCCTGCCTCCGCCTCCCGGATCTCTGTGTGCTGGGGTTACAGGTGTGAGCCACTGTGCCCAGCTGTTCCCAGATAACCTTTTTAGCACAGTCAGTTTATCTGGGACCCAAGATCTTAGGATTACCCGGGAATCTGCAGTTTTTCTGCAGCACCCTGTCCTCCAAGCCCAGTTAAGCAGGCGGTCATCCCGAGTCAAAAAGGTTAACTCTAGCAGTAAGGATGGCCAGCCTAGATACTGCCCAGGCCCTGGCCTCTGATCCTCCCCATTGCTAGAGGAACGGCTCTCAAAGAAAGACTGGCTAAGTTGGTGTCATGAAGCACCAATGAGAACAGAGAGGTGGCAGGAGAGGCGACACAAACCTTGCTTCTAAGCTGCTGTAGCACAAGCCTGTAATCCTTGCTCTTGAGAGCAAAGGCAGGAGGATCGGAGCGGGAGGCCAGTCTGAACTACACAGCAAGAACACTGATCCTCCCGCCAAAATAAATAAGTAAATAAATAAACATTAAAAGCCCACTGATTCTAACTCTGCCTCACCCTCGTCATCCCCCAAAGTGCTGTCATCACAGCTTCTCAGCCCTGTGGCTGCATCTGCACACGTGCCTCTCCATCTTGAACCAAGACAGTTATCTTCCATTTCCTATGTACCTGCAGCTCAGGCTTTCGAATCATCACCTGCATTCAACCTGCCAGGACAGCTACTTGGCAGGTTCAGGACATTCAGGACCCTTTCTCTGCAAGTACCTGTGACATCACCAGCTGCCCACAACCTCCTGTGACATCACCACCTGGACAACTGAGCCTAGCAGAGCCAAGCCACTCCTTCCCAACCAGCACAAGTAGCAGGGGGCATAGATGACCACCGAGCCCTTGGGAGAGGCCAAAGCCAACAACAGGCCTGCACATGATCTTTCTGAGGCTGCCTTGAACAACCATGCCAGCGAAAACTCTACAGACTTACCTGGAGAGTCTGAGACTCCAGGTATCCTGCCTGATGATGGCCTGCCATTAGACTTGACTGCAAAACTCAGTGAAGAGGAGGATGTGGACCGGGCCTCGGTGGCAGCGACCATTGCCACAGAGCAGGATGATGACGATCCGGTCTCCGATCCGACTGCCGCCTTCATGGGCCAGGATGACGACCAGGCCATCTCCATAGAGCAGGATGTAGAGCCTGTCAGCCCCATGCCTACTCCTCGGGACAGGGAGGAAAGCCCAGATGCTCCACGCCGTCCCCAGGAGAGCCCTGAAGAGGAAGAGATCACATCTCTGCTGTCCCAAGACCCAGGTATGCTGCAGATGTTCGTGGGCTTCCAGAACCCGGTGTGGGATAGGCTGGCTGAGAATAACCGTGCAAGCTGGAGCCGCACAGTTTCCCCAAGTGACTCACAGAGCCAGGAAAAGACACCAGGAAAGCCAGAGATGGCTACAAATGCTGAAGCCCCACCTGTCCTGCCTGACAGCGTCCAGACTTCTACGGAAGATCCTGACCCACCCACTTTGGATATCAGTGGTCCTGACCAACAGCCCACGAGTAGCACCAAGTCCGTCGAACAGGAAGCTGAAGGTCTCGAGGCCTTGAACCCTGAGAGCAAAGATATATCCCCAGAGCAGACTGACTCAAGGATCCCTCAGACCCCACTTTCCCCAGGCTCCCCAGCAGGCAGTGTGCCTCCATCTCCGGAACCTAGCCAGGAGGCCCTGGGCAGGAGCAGACTGGATCCCAGTCTGTACAGGCCTAATGTGGAAAATGACTACATGCGCTCCATGACCAGCCTGCTGGGTGGTGGAGAGGGCTCCATCAGCTCCCTTACAGACATCCTGGTGTGGTCAGACACAGCCAGAGGCATGGGGATGGCTTTAGGCTTCCTGACCTTGGGGCGCAGCTCTCCAGCTGAGAGGCTACAAGATGAGGGTCCCAGCCTTCGCACTGTCTCCAGCCTCTTGGGCCATGCCAGGTCAGCTTTCTCTTCTGGGCTGGCAGCTGGAACTGGCTCGGCCCTACGCTCTGTCTCACACTTGCTGGAGTCTGTGGAGAGAAGGACCGTGGAAGGCATCCGCTCAACTGTGCGCTACCTGGCCAATCACTTGACCCAGCGCTGGGCCCGAACTAGCCCCAGCAGTGACTAGACCAACAAGCCCCCTGCTCCATGCCCCACCCCTGCCCTAGATAACACCCCCTGCCCTTCAGTAAATAACCACAAGCGTTTATTTTCTAAGCTCTGCCCTTATCCATGCAGTGGGACAGCAGGGTGGAAGGACAGAAGGGGTCCAAAATGTTCCGAAAATAGAATGTTCTTAGGTGGTTCTATTAGTTTGGGAGCAAACTGTAGAGAGAAGAACTGGGCTCTGACAGGGTTGGGGAAGGGGAGGGGGAGGGGAGTCTCAGATCAGCTGTGTCTCCACACGCAACCTGAGCTCATGTGCCTGTCCGTCCCTCAGCCCCATGCCCAGGCTACACGTTGAGGTTCTGGGAGGCAAGAAAAGGGTATTGAGGTAGAGTGCTGTATCGGGCCTCATAGGAGGAGTGTACACATCTGGGTCCCATGCAATCTTTTTATTAGAATCAGACATCTGATGTCTCCTCTTGCCCTGGGCCCTGCTCCCCGGCCTCCCTCTCCTCATCTTGGAATAGAGAGAGGAACTCCACCGTCACGCACAAAGGTGCCAATGCCAGAAGTCACAGGGACACAGTGGACTTTTACATAGTACGCCATGGGACAGGGCTCCAGGAAGGGTGACCAAACCATTCCTTGGACTTAAGGGGTAGGGGGATAATGGGGTGGGTGTAATGGTCCTTTAAATTTCGAACTGGCCAAGCATGGCTACCACCTTTGGCCCAGATGATCTCCATGACAGTTTACTCTGCTCTCTGCCATTTGCATCTTGGAAAGCAGGCACAAGAGCAAGAATCGGGGGCCCACCCAGGGTCACATGTGTTAGAAACCACAGTCACCCTCTGGCAAGACCCGGTGCTACATTTTGGGCAAATCCTCAGCCCAACTGCCTTCAGGCACAGCCTTACACCTTTAGCTCAGCTAGGGACCACCCACCCATCCATTTCAACTTTTCTGTGTGTCTCTCAATAGGGTCCAGGGATGAACCCAGCCCACTGATTGGTCTGGCTTTTAGAGTTTCTTGATGTACATATTTTTAAAAAATATTTTTCCTTATAAAAAATGTTTGTGTCTATGAGTATTTTGCCTGCATGTATGTGTATATTCAGGTAGTGCCTATGGAGACTGGAAGAGGGTATTGGGTCCCCCATGGGTGCTAGGAATGGAATCTGGGTCCTCTGCAAGAGCAGCTGGTACTCTTAACTGGTGAGCCATCTCTCTAGTTCCACTGGCTCACATTTTTTAAGTTAGAGCTTACATAAAACTCAGGATTTTTGCTTTTCTGAAACAAAGCAAAAAAAAAAAAAAAAAATCTAAGATCCTCTTTTTTTTTTTAGGGTCCAAGCAGTTAGTCTACCCACTGTCCATGGCAGCCTACCTGGCCTTTGTCAGGGAAGGATGCTCCATGCTGGTCCCCGAGGGGTACCAACGGCCACTCCTACCTTACCAATGGCTCTTGAAAGGAATTAGGACTCTGAACCCCAAGAGGAAACACAGGACTTACCTGTGTGTTCCCTTTCTGTTGGAAAGCTGCCATCTGCTGAAAGGTGCAGCTGACCTGTCCCCATGTCATGAAAACAAGGAATTTAGACCATGGAGACTGATCGTTCAGACCCCAGTAAGGGGCCCTCCCAGAAGAACAACAGTGAGAGATGGTGTCCCCCAGACAGAAGCTGCTGGAAGTGAGACAGGTGGTGGGGGTGAAGGAGGGCAGTGAGGAGTGGCAGGTGGCTGGGATGGACAGCACTGGGTGATAAAACTGCCATGTAAAAGGTACGTGGCACTGCATACCTGTAACCCCAGCACTCTGGGAGGCAGAGGCAGGAGGACTGCTGTGAGTTTGGGGCCAGCCTGGTCTACAAAGCGAATCCAGGACAGTCAAGGCTACCTAGAAAAAGCCAATCTCGAAAAAATAAAAAATAAAACCAAACAAAAATCTGCCACGTAGGCCCCCAGCCATGCTTCCAATAGTTTAAAGAGCTGTTGTGAGCCAGATTCTGCTACTCACTAAAACTACAAACCACAGAGACAAATGTCTTAGATTTCCACTGCTGTGATAAAACACCTTGACCAAAGACAGCTCTCGAGGAGGAAAGCGCTTGTTCTTGTTTCAGCGTACAGTCCTTCAGGAAGGAAAGTCAGGGTAGGAACTCATGGCAGAAACCTGGAGGCAGGAGCTGACGTGGAACCCACTGAGGAATGCTGTGTGTACAGGCTTGTTACCCACGGCTTGCTCAGCCTGCTTTCTTATGCGACCCAGAACCACCAGCCCAGGTGTGGGCGGTAGGACATCAACCATCAGTTAAGAAGCCCCTCCCACAGGCTTGCATACAAGCCAATCTGATGGAGGCACATTCTCAATTAAGTTCCCTCTCCCCAGAGGACCCTAGCTAGCACCAAGGTGACCAAAGATGAATATACAGCACAGGTGACGTGGACTGAAAGGGACCAAAAACCAAACTGAGGTCAGCATGAATACAGGAGTTAGCAATGGGCATTTTTGCCAGGTGTGGGTGTGGCTGTGTATCTGGCCTCCAGCCGGTGGGTTCCTACTACTTTCCAGCTGTCTTTACTCATTTCAGACAAGGAGAGAACAGGCCAGTCCCTGAAGAGGACACTGATGGTTGGCTTGGTAGCCACAAGACTGAAACACCAGTCCTCTGGACTGGGTCACAGTTGGCCTAGAATTAGGGACCTTCCACAGCACAGCAGGACTCAGTCAGCAGAGTAAACGTGCTGACTTTGGCCTTTGGGTCCAAGCCACCTTGGATGCTGGCTCTACTATGGACCATCTTTGTTTTCCAGCACTTTCCTGTGCCTCAATTTCCTCATCTGTAAAGGGATCATAGCTTCTGGCTACACTGGGGTTACCATGAATGAGTCAATTGCCCGGGGCACACAGTTGAGTCTCTATAATAGTTAGCCATCATGGTGACACATGACAGAGCTGGTCCTGGGGAGTTGGATACCAAGAATGCACTCTGCTCGGTCATGAGCTGGAAAAGGACAAGTATGGATTAGCAATCATCTGCATTGAAGCTTCACTCTTAGAATAGGGCAAAGAGCCAGTAGCGGAAGCTTGGTGACAGCAGCTTGCAAGAGGCGACTGTGGGGAGGTGGCCCAGATCCAGGAAACTCAAGGCCAGCAGTAAGAAGAGATAAAGCAAAGAGAGAGGGGAACATCGAGGACCAGGTGGGATGAGAAAAAAAGAAAAACAATCAGTTCAGGTCCTGGTAGTTTGAGCCAAACAGGATATGTCTGGCATCACTGTCAGGTGGTAGGACCCAAAGGGTTAATTGCGGTGGCACAGGAAGAGGCAGGGAAGGTCCCCATGACTTGTCTGCCCCCAGGAACATTGAAGTGGACTTACATCTGGGTCCTGTGGCTGGCTCCCCTGTAGGTCCTTGACACTGGAAGTAGCATGCTAGATTGCTTTTTCATTGTCAAAGCGTCTAAAGGACACTCAGGAATCACAGCTACTCAGCAAGGACATAGCTCATGCTCAGAACAGGGACAAGACTGGGACCCACTGTGCTGTCTAGTTCCTCAGAGGCTGTGGCAGTCTCTCTCCATTGGTTTGGCATTTCAGCCAATGCCCCTACTGACTGGCATAGTCTGTGCTGCCCTACAGACAGCAATCTGGTGTCAGCTTCAGAACCCTAGCCTGCGCTCTCTCCTCTCCCCTGGGTTAGGCAGCTCTCCTAGCAGCCTCCCCAGAATAGAATTCCAGGCCTCTAGATGTTGGCACACCTGGGGAGAAAACTGGCACTGTGTACTTGCTCATGGGGTGGACGTGCAACATAGAAATGCCTGCACCCCAGCCAGGATAATACGACCAAGTGTGAATGACAGAGCAAGAAGGACAAGGCGGAACCGGGCGAGGTGGTGCACATCTTTAATCCCAGCACTCGGGAGAGAGATGCAGGCAGATCTCTGTGAATTCAAGGCCAGCCTGGTCTACAAAGTGAGTTCAGGAAAGGCAGGGCTATTAAACAGAGAAACCCTGTCCTGAGGGGCGAGGGGGAATAGGCTAGGTATGGTGGCCCATGCCTTTAGAGGCAGGTGAAGGCTAGCCAGATCTACATAGCTTGTTTCAAGCCATCTACGGTTATACACAGTGAGACCCTGTCTCAAAAGGACAAAAGAGAAACCAAAACAAAACGTCATTTCAGTCAAGCCAAGAGTTAGCAGGACAGGGCTATCTGCCATCTGCCTCAATGGAGGACTTGTTCCCCTGGCTGCTGGGTGTGCTTGGCAAGGCCTGCAGGGAGGTGCCCCCCCCCCCCAGGGTCACGCTGTCTTGTGAGGCTAGCTGGGGTTAGTGAACCAGCATTGCAGCTGTGATGTCTTCTCCCTCTGCCCACTTGGGCTTCATTCTCACCCCTACAAGAGGGCATGAGGCCCAGTTACGCAGTAGTTACCACATCGGGGCTTTGGGCCCACACATCACAGCAAGCGCGCTCCGTAAGAGATGGGTGTGTATATCTCAAGAATGCAAATGATGAGAAAATCTTAAAGCAGGCATGGTGACCAAAACAGGAGAATTGTAAATTGTAGGCCGAGAGAGAGAGAGAGAGAGAGAGAGAGAGAGAGAGAGAAACATATATTTCAGACCAGGAGCACTGGCGCATGCCCCTACTTGGGAGGCAGAAACAGACAGATCTCTGTGGATTCCAGGCCAGTCAATGAGACCCTGTGTGTGGGGGGGTGTGGGGGGGTGTAGGTGTGTGTGTAGATGTTAGGCTGGGCATGGTGATGCATGCCTTTGATCCCAACATTCAGGAGGCAGAGGCAGGTGGATCTCTGTGAGTCAAGTCTAGCTTGGTCTCCATAGTGAGTGAGTTCCAAGACAGACAGAGCTATATAGAAAGACCCTGTCTCACAAAAACAAAAACAAAAAACAAACAAAAAACCAAAACTTTCCTGGCTAGAGAAGATGGCTCAGCAGGTAATAGTACTAGCCACGTAAGCCTGACAGACAGCCTGAGTTCAATCTAAAACTTATGTAAAAG